ATTGTCCTTTAATTGGAAAAAACTCCTTCACCCCTCGCGGGGACGGAAAATGGAGGTGTGACACAAGGCATTATGTATTTCTCTGAATAATTTTTAACAACAATCTAATTTTTTTGCCCATATAATAGTAAATAACGAAACATATTTTTAAGTTAGCTTTTAGTAGCTTTTCCCTAATTTGTTGTCTTACTATAACTATAATTTTCTTTTCTGGATCATTGCTTCTAACTTTATTGACATACAACTAAAGATTTTTAAAATCTTAAGAGGCAATGATATGTTTTTATACTCTTAGATTGGTGTGTAGTTTTAGCAACCACACATCGTCACTCCATGCAGCTATCCTGAAAATTATGCTTATAAATAAAGAATAAATTGAAAGTTTGAAGTCAATCTTGAAAAAACATAAATTAGTTGCAAAAAAATTTAGAGAAATTAAAACCTACAAAATCAAAAGCACAATATGATAGTAGCTCTAATTTTACTTATATTCTTATAGCAAGAGAAACAATAAGAGACAAAATTTGCATTGTTAGGAATATATTTAAAGACATGATTAAATATTACAGTGATCTATAAATGTTGGTAGCAAAAATCAAAATCATAATAATTCCGGTAATGCTTATTGGACCTAAGTATGCTTTGAAAGATCATAATTACAGCAAAACCAAAGGTGAATTGAAGCATGGAAAGTAGCCTTTTAAAGGGTACAACCTCAACTGGAATCTCAACTTCATTTATTGTGTGCTATTGGTAGACAACATACGAAAAGTGAGATAACATATCACACTTGAATCATCAATTGCTATTTGGACCCAATAAAACAAGTTCATATATACCTACTAGTCATCCATGATGATAAAGTCTTGAATTCTCCTCCCATTTGGAGAGGTGGGTTTTATTGGATTTGTGTACATCATCAGATACCTTCGTCTTCCTCATCTCTTCAACTTGTGCAGGTGCTTTTCTTATTACTTAATATGAATTTTATTGTTTTCTATCTCTTTGTAGGTGCTGTTGAAAATTTAAGGAGTTTGAGGAGTTTAAGATTATAATTAGAGTGAGATTACTTAAGCATGAATGATTTTGTTTTTGTTTGAATTATTTCTCAGGAAACTTCAGAGCTAATATTAGTTTTTGTTATCTATTTCTACCTCATTATTAGAATGGAAAAGCTTTTCCTTTTGATTGTAATTCTGTGTGCTTCTAGGTATGTCATTCATCACATATATATTGACTGAATTGTTTTTGGTTTCAAAGTTATTTTGATAGGTCTATGGATCGGTGGTTTTATGTTTTATAAAATGAGTATTCTTTATTAATTACTGCTTCAACTTTATTTATTTTGTTACCATCTGTTGTATTTGATGTTCTTTATGAGACCTCAATGTGTTCTTTGCTTTTTTGGCTCTGTTGTGCATGACAATTTATTCTCTTTGTCATTGCAGTTCTTGTGATCTATTGTGGATGTGTTCTACTTTTGTTATGCAGTAGCACTTGAACTAGAAGGTAAATTTTCTAATCTCTGCTTATCTATTTATAGATATTGTACGTTTTTACGTGGGTTTTTCTAAAAAATGTAAGCATACATATTATGTGCAGCTTTTGAGCTATTCCATATGTGGATTTGTTTACATTCGGTAATGTAAATATGTATGTGACATTTCCCATTTAGGAAGTAGACGAGTGAAATGTCGAGTAAAAACCATAAAATTGACAAATCAGAAAAAATATATGCCGACAAGAAGCCTAGGCGACGCGAATTATACAGAATGATGCAAGACGATAAAAAGGAAGTTAATATACGGTGATGCGGGCTGGACAATTATTTGAATAATGGTATTTGCACAATGTGCAAACTAATGTTCATACTGCCATTATCCAGGCAGATGTACTAGATTGCACCTGCCCATTGCTATCATTGTACACCTCATCATTATCCAGGCAGATGTGCACAACATATGGACAGATGAGGTGTACAATGATAGTCTTCCACTTATCAATGCGAATCCGAAGTCAAATTTTGCTTAGGCGATTATCATCCCTTCTGTGAGTGAGTTACCTTATTCTTTTCTCATCAGTTCTTCGCATAGAGGAAAATAACGTTAAACAACTGATATTTCATGGCCTCTCTATAACATTTAGTAGTTAGTAATAATCCTAAAAAATTTATCAATATTTTTTACAAAACAAAGTCTCTCTTTCCTCTAATTTTGTACTTAGCCGAGTATGTGGAAAAAGGAATATCTTAGGTTTATATTATTTTAATCATTTAATTGCATCATCACTTTGCCACAAAAATCTAACGTTCTTTTCTTCTCTTCTCCTGCTATTAGAAGTGAGATCCATTTGTCTTGTAGAAATATGGAATCTGATTCCGAAAGTTGGAGTAGGTCCGTAATTTTGAATATGATTTGTGTGCAAAATTTGAGGTCATTCGGACATGGTTTGATAGGTTTCGGCATCGGTTACGGAAATTTGCAGTTTCGACATACTTGCTTATGGGTAATTTAGGTTTTGTTTGAGGACATATTAGACTTTTGAGCTTATCTGTATACATGCCTTTTTCATATCTACCCAACTACTACGTGTAGCGTTTACGTTATTACATAGGTGGGTTTTATTGGATTTGTGTACATCATCAGATATCTTCGTCTTCCTCATCTCTTCAACTTGTGCAGGTGCTTTTCTTATTACTTAATATGAATTTTATTTATAGTCATGGCGAAACATAGATGTAGCAAAATAGAGGTTGTGAGGTATTCAGCATATGCTTAAAACGCTACAGGTTTGAAGGCCTGATATCAACACCAGATCATATTTGCTTGGTAAATATTTACTGGGTTGATGCAAACTACTGGCCCAACATGAAAGAGATTTATGTTAATACCATTATATTTAATATCAATTAATTAAAGGGAATAAAATCAAATGTATTTGCATTTTGCACAAACTTGAGTATTCTAATCAAGTAGACCTTAGATACATCTTCCATCTGAAGGTACCTATAAGTGTGAAAGAGTATGCAATGCACAATAAGTAAAATTAAAATAAGAACACTAAATTCTGAGAGAAACACAAAACGCTTCATAATACAAATTTCAAGTTCTATCTGTTGCCCTTTCTTCTTCTCAATAATTCAGAAGTGGACAAAACCAAATTTTAAGCTCCTGCTCACTTTTAGACTTGTGAGCATATACCATAAGATCATCATCCCTCATTGCATATATGGAATATCCTTTCTGAATTTCTCAAAGGCCTTATCAATAATCTCAATTCTCAAGAGGCAAAGCATTTTTTTAGCTCCTCTACCACACTCCTCAACCTCTAGTTCCATCTTTACAGATACATCAGAAAAATCACAGGATTTCATCACAAAAGCAGTAAACCATCCATAGACAAAAACTTATTAATGAAATTTAGATATTCCATTGGCAACCATTGTTGCGACAAATGAAACTACTGACTCATTCCATTTAGGCTTAGCCTTCACTGACCTCACAATGCGATGCTTCTAATTAAACAGAAGCTGAGAGCGATTATTAAAGCAATAATAATTAAAGCAAACCAAAAAGTATTAAACACGCCCATATTATTGTTGATGCCGTATAATCATTCCACAATATGTAATGAGCGAACTACTTTTGCTCTGATAGACATATGTTGAGTAACTTTTGGATTTGAGGCAGCTTAATCTGGGAGAGATGGTCAGGCCTTTTTTTATTTTTGGCTTTTGTGTTTGTGGAATGAGAAGTATGAATTATTGATACTAATATTTCTTCCTGAACTTTTAAGCTTCCTTATCATAGTCGCTAAACCCAAAATAACTGTGAAAATAAGGAGAAATCAGGATTGGGTAGGATTGATTTTCACACTTAGTGTGTGTTTTTTCTATTGAATTTTGATAAACGACAGTATTTTAACATCTGATTTAAAATACTAGTGAATTCACGTTATATTGCATTTAGCATGTAAAGATATTCATGCATGCCTAAGGAAAGGGTGCTGCTAAAGCTATAACAAGTAAAAAGGGCAGTGGCCATGGAAGGAGTCGACCTCCATCCGCAAATAAAAGCTCCCAGCCTTAAGAGAAAGTAACGGCAGGTAAAAGAGGAAGGCCCGGGAAATCATATGACTACTTTTCTTTGGCTGCTTAGTTGCAGTTTAAAAAGTGAATCATTTTCATCATTATTTCCATTCTACATTCTGAGGTTTAACAAGTGTAAAGCATTTTAAATTTGTTACCTACATTGACACAGAGCATTAACCGCCAAGATAGAAGTGTTTGTCCAAATTTGTATCTGCTGAACTCTATATCTATGATTCACAGATGTTAACAGATTACAAAAATGATTGAATTTTATCCTTGATTACCAATTCCAACACTAAGTACTCCACCATGGAGTTGATGTTCCTGTGAAGCGCCAAAGTTGATTGTGTAATGTTTGATTGTGTAATTATAATGTTTAACCATCGCAGTTCACGTGAAGTTTAATATATCAATTGTTAAAATGCTTTGGAAATTGATAATATATTAACAATCCTTCATGGAATGAACAAAGTATCATCAAAAAGAAAATCTCATAAATACCAAACATGATGTTTTCCTTGGACAATTTAAAGTATTGTTGAAAACAACTGCAAAAAAAATTAACACTAAATAACTATTGGGCCTGTGTTAAATATATGTGCTTGATTTCGACATGTGTGCTTCTAAGGGATTAAATCAGAATCTGAGGGTATTATGGACTATTACCATCAGTTATCAATACCACTTTTGTGTTGGAGAAATTATGTGCCCGTTTCATTTGCTTCTAAACCACGTGTTCTTTATTCCGGCGGCCAGAGAAATATTAGTTTTTCCTCATTCTCTGTGCATACTTTCAACTAATGCTCCTTCAAGCATTTCAGTTCTCTTCATCTTCTTCGTTCATTTTCATCTTCTCAACCGATGTTGTAATTTCAGGTATGTTCTTTTATTTGTTTGCCCCATATGGTCTTCTCCTTTTTTCTTGATATTCTTTCCCGTCAGTGTCTTTATTGGACTCTCTTTATACTTCTCAATTTCATAGCTGGTATCAATTGCCGACAAAAAGAAGAGAAAAGGTTTAAGGGGTTTTTATGTAAAGATAAGTGTGGGAGTGTGATTGGGAGTAAATGATGATAAAGAAATACATCATATAAGTAAATTCATTTGCTTTAGGCTTCTTTTCGATAATTTAAATTTCAACCAAAAATAGAGTTTTCTCTTCCGATCTACTCTGACTTTTTGGGGCAAATCTTGGAGTTCTTCAACGCAAAAAAAAGTGGTGTTTTTGCTATTGGGCTGAAAAATAATTTTTATTTTCCCAAATTAGGAACAAATAGAAACTGATATAAACGACAAGATTTAATTTATATGCAAGAATTAGAAATGCTTGCGAAAAAATTAAATTCATGAAGAATCAAAGATTACAAATGCATTGAAAATAAATGGTAATTAAATCAGTTGGCTCAGCTCTGAAAATTGAGTGACTATAATTGTCTTCACAAAACTGCAACTTTTTTCTCTTAGATTCTTCATGTTTTCTTTTCTCATCCTGCTTCATGCTTACTCTTTAGTTGATTTCACCAGAGAAAGTTTTTCCCCATGTGGAAGCGTCAACATTGGTGTTTATTGCTTCTTTTTGTTTGCAGAGTGATCATTCTACTATGGAAATTGAGGTAGTTAGATATTAGACATTTTTGCTTGAAAAATGGTGGTTTTACTTTTATTTTCTGGTAATTGCTGTTTGTTTCTTTCCCTCTCCTGTTTATTTTGTCTAGCCGCTGCCGACATCTTCTCTAATCCATTCTTAAGAGCATTTTTATTGAAATAATAAGCATCTCTGGGTGTTCCTGTTTCCTACAGTACTAGCCTACCGTTTATTTTCAAGTTTAGAGATCTGTTTTCCTTTTCATATTACTATGTTTGATTAAAGTCCTACTTAAACTTTAAAAGCATGATCCAATGATTCTAAACATATTTATCTTAGACATATGGAACGAGTTCTTCACATGCATAGACAAATAATTTCCAAAGAAGTCAAGTGAAATGCTTAGACAGCGGAAGTTTAAGATAATATTTGTTGAATTAGACTTCTTCTCGGTGGCTACCACTTTCTACATTAATGTTGCTTTTACATTTCTCTTTGAATTTCAGGGTGAAAAATTTCTCAAAAATTGTAGCGGAGACAATTTTAGATTTTCACAGTGAACATTCCATTCAGGTATTGTCATTCATCTCATTATAGGAACAGAGTTAGTTTCTTCTTTAGCCATCTTCCGTTAGTANCAAAAAAAAAAAAAAAAGTCCTTTCTTAGCTACATCAACATTTGAAGGTGATGTGAGTCATAACTTGAATAGACTAAATGAATGTGATAAAATGAGAGAATTGACAGTTTAAGTATATTCCAATTCAGAATATAAAGTGAAGGGAGCAAAAGCTCATGTATCTGATGAACATCAATTTGAAGAAAAAAAAATAATCATCTCCAGGAAAAAAGGAAGCATGTAGTGAGAAAGCTGATGAAGGGTTTTGAATTTAACAAACCATGAAAAATATTTATCACCAATTGATTAGTATTATTCCTGAAGATTCAAAATAAATACATAACGAACAAATATTTGGTAAGGAGAGAGTCTAGGTTGGCAGAAGTTGTTGTCTCTCAAAATAAAAAACTTGATCAAAACAAGATGCAAGAATATGTTTAATTTTAATATCAGACTTTCTTTTTGTAATGAAAAAAGTGATTTTATCACTTTTCCCTCTTCACATGCAGCATATATGTTATCTATGTGAACTCTAAAAGAAATTCTGGATGTGAGATCTAGAATTGACTTTATGTGATCGTCTCTAGCTAGCAATATGAAGTTCTATGGTTTTATCCTTTTCCTAATTTTTATTGTCCGCAAATTGACACTTTGGTGCTATGTAGAAGCCACCTTGCACCCACTGCCACTAAATCACCATTCCCCAAGTTAATGTGGTACTTGCTGTGATACCAAGAGTCGTTGCACCAGGTGCTAAAGCATGGGTATTTTGTATCCTTTGAGCAAAAACGGGTTATAATTGTATAGCAGTATCTGAAAATATATCTCGAAATTTCCGCTCCAAGCAGAAAATGCAATAAAAGCAAGGAACCTATGATAGATCCCACTCTCTCTAGAAATATAGAATTTATGTGGTTGGACATACTCTTATACAGGAAATGAATGGAAGATGTACTTCAACAGTGATTTTCAAGTCTTTGTTTAACTTCAACGAGGCATGTGGACTTCCTATAGCTATTTGGAAAAAATAATTCATGGATTACGTACATGTGAGAAATACATGTAGCATTTGGTTGGACTTCTTCGTGAATGTAATATGAAGAGCGGAGCAAGATTTTCAGTACTTGAATGCTCTGATGCAAAATTATTTCTTATTTCAAAACTGCAGTTATTTTGTTATTATGTGACTTACTGTTGCTGATTTCCAAGTGTCAGATGTATCTGTGTCCATAGAATCGTAATAACTTTAACTCGCTCACGTCTAAATTATCTTCATCTTGAAGCTATTTCAAGTCATACCATCTGTTTAGAGGCAAATAGGTCAGAGAAAATAATGGGGGGCACCATGTGAATACCGATTGTGCTACTTTACATCCTTTTATGCTATCTTGCTCTACTGGTATTTTGGAAGTATTGCAGCTTTCCTTCACAACATTTTCGTCCAATGAAGAACACTAGATCTATTTTCGGCACTCTTCTAAATCTATACTTCTTTTAATTGATTGCTGTCACTTATTTTTTATAGGTGCTAAAAAAAATTTCCTCACATTGTGGTTTTGGTATGGCAAAGATTAGCTGTTACACTGCTGATTACCTACTGCTAAGGACGAACTCACTGTGCTTGTGATGTATTTGCAGAAGCAAACATTTCTATATTTTCTTGGGTATTATGTCTGTAAATGTGCTATTTTGCACATATATAGCAGATAAAAGTTTTTGGTTAAGCTTAGCTGTAAAAAAATTGTATTTTTACAGAAATTGGTCATGTATGTCATGTTTTGCCTGTGCATTCTTTAATTTTTTTTCTTTCTACATTTTATGTCAAAACAAGTAAATATTGGGCCCGTGCTGGCACGGGCATCACCTTCTAGTGTCTACAAGATGAGGAAGAAGAAAAGCAACAACAACACTAATTTTATGTGAAGTTCCTGGTCACATAAAATAGGCCCACAATCCCTTCTTGGGTGGGCAATAAACAAAGCACCCAAATTCCAATATCCAACCCAATTCAGATTACAACCCGATTTTCTCTCGCTCGGCTTTACTCTCCCTCGCAAGGGTGGCTCCGTAAAATTGGTGGCTTAAAGTCAAATTTTAATAAGAGGCCTTATACTTTTTCTATTAGTATGTATCCACACATATATGCAAAAAAAAAAAATCTTGCCATTTTTTTCATACTTGTTGTTTATAGAATATCTTCTTAAATGACATAAAGTCTTTAACTTCACATAGAAATATTATTATTTATATTAAAAAAGGAAAATTTAAATAAATGAGATATTAGACATGTATTTGCGATATGCTACCTTTGATGTTGTTGTAAAAAATATATTTACTAATATAAAGATTTAAGTAGTTTAATTCAAAGTTTAAAAAATATTTTTACTGTTTAAGAGTAGACACCTTTTTTTCTTTTTTACAATTTTTTTTGTACTTTTTTATTTTTTCTACAAACATTAATATTGTCTAATTTGAAATAAAATTATGAAATCCATTATTAAAAATTTTGGGGGACCTAAATCAAGGCTTTAGGGAAACATTGTCCTAAACTTTGAATAATCGCTCTGATGGACAATCTAGAGATTGTGTAATGAAAGAGAATACATTGTGGGTAATTTGTTTATTAGTTTTTTAATGTGAACATGTGTGACTGTAGGTGATATACCAGACTGTTGGTAGTTTTCACTTCGTTCAACAAGAGTAGGATAATGAACTTAAGAGTAAATGATTTTTGAAATAACTTACATTTGCCGGGGTTGGCTGGGTTGGTTCATAGGTGGATTACGAAGGTTTGTTGATTAGGATATCTAAATTATATATAGTTTATCAAACGAAGTTGATGCGTAACGACTGCGGGAAGGAAACTTCATAGCATATGGAGAGTACAGACAAATTGTATGACCTTATTTAAAGTTTACGAAGTAAATATGATCTGGTGACGTATTAGATAAATCTAATTAGCGGGCTTCTCAGTTCAACAAATTGTATGATCTGTGCTTCTTCGTAATCTGTTGTATACACGTCGCAACTTTTTCAACGATTAAGCACCTCAAGGACATCAACTTAATCATATAGTTAAAACTGTCCATACACATAAAAATATGAAAAGTGATAAGGCCGAGAAATGCATACCTTTTTTAGTTGAACTGAGAAGGATGAATTAATCAGTGCATCGCCAGAATTTTGTGTGCTTGCTAGAAAATCTTTAATGCTATAGAGTCAACAGAAACTTTATTTTTTCCTTAAGAGAATAGCTCAAATTAGTGAATAGTCATCTAGAGCTATAACATTGCATATCTAATTACTCAAATAGGCAGAGAAAATATGCTCAATATTCTAGCAAAAACCAGCAGAGTTCTAACCTGGCCAGAATTATATCTATTTTTTCATGCAAGTGAAATATTTAAACAGCTTTGGTAAGCATCACTACCCCGGTTCAATTTTTACTTATTTAAAGTAAATCTTGACTGTGGTTAAGTCATAATTTCAGAATTTTGTTACTTTAACAGTTTAACTGTATGGTTTTATTCCTTCGAAGTAGTTTCTGATTGATTGTGTTTGCTGCATATAGGTATTTGCTAATTTGTTGGTTGATCCATATCAAATAATGATGGCTAATGTTGCAGCTGCATTACACGAGATTGGCTATGAAATTGAGGTAACTTTTCTGATTTTTACTTAGTACCTTAAGGCTCATTGAAATGGAGGCAATGCCAGCTGCTATGTAAGTCAATGGAACTGATCAGGAAGTTAAAACTAGGTTTTGGATGTTTTAAATTTCTAAGTTAAAACTAGGCTCCGAGATTAATGATAGTGATAACACAATTAGGGACTTCTTGCTTTAAATTTCTAAGTACGAATACAATGTTGTTCATGTACGAGTGGTAATCAGTGCTACGTGTTTAGTCAACTCAGGGTAACAAGTGACTACTGAAATCAAGGACAAACGATTACTGGTTTCATCTTCTGCAGAAGTTGAACTGTTGCATTTGTTGAATACTACTTCCAGGATTTTTTGTATCAACTTTTCTTTTAAGTTGCTAGGAGAATTACACATGGAATTGGAAATCTTTGGGCCTGGTTTAGGACTAAGTTAAACCTGATAATCTGTTGATATCAGGGTGGCTTATATTGCTATGGCCAAAACTTGGCTTTACTTGAATTCAAGATCTTAATTTCTCTTATTTTGGCCAACTTTTCTATTTCCATTTCTCCTAATTATGTACACTCACCTACTTTTAGTTTGGTTCTTGAACCTAAATACGGGGTTAATCTTCTTGTTAAGAAGCTTTGATCAAGATGTTGTTGAAATATTAAACTTCATTCATGCACTTTATTTGTTTAGTTCATGAACTAATATATTAAATGTATTCATTTACTCCCATCATTTCAATTTATGTGTCTTTCTTTTCTCTTTATTCAAAATGAATGCACTTTTCTTTATTTAGCTCTCATTTAGCCATAGATTTTGGCTTTAGTTTTTCATAAGAAGAAAAAATTAAAAACATTGCTTGTGAAGAAAAAATTAAAAACATTGTTTGTTTATAAAATATAATCGTGTTTTGGGGGAAAAAGATTCAAGTTCCCAAAAACTGTCTGGTTTAGGGTAGTTTTTGGGTGAAAATTTTTCTTCCACTCACGAAACTTCAACTTTTCTTCAAATAAAATGCATGTCCAAATACAACTTTAACTTTCAAAAATTATTTTTCAACACAACTTCAAAAACTCTTTTTTCAAGTTTCAATCAAATCTATATCCAAACACTGGCTTAGTAACACTACATTCGAAGGGTACTTTTGGTGTGTTTATTACTATATGACACATAGGATTGTTTATTTACTTTCCCCAAAGCTTATCAAGGATTTAAAGTGTATGGAAACTAGCGACTCCTCGCTTGCCAGAACACGCAACCCATTTGTGCCACTATTTCACCCTTTATTATATGTACATATTTCATGAATTTCTCAACACATACAGGATCTAGGCCAAATTAAAGCGACATGATTATGCCGAACCTATATATATTGTACATCGTGGTCGTCTTGGCGTAATTAATAAAGTTGTCATGTCACGTGTTCGAGCAGTAGAAACAGCCTCTTGGAGAAATGCATGATAAGACTGCGTACAGTAGATCTTTGTGGTCCGGCCCTTCCCCGGACCCTGCGCATAGCGGGAGCTTTGTGCACCGGCTACTCTTTTTTGCCGCTGCACTCCCCTATGACCCATACCATGAACAAATTGCACATTGTTTTTAGTTTCCATAGGCAAGATGATTCATATGGCTACATATGCAACCCAAGAAGTTTGTTAACGCGAGACGACCACCTCCTATGTTTCTCGCTTCAAGAAGAGAAGCCAATTCTAGTAAACATGATGCAAAGAATAAGTCAAGAACCATTAACCAGTTCAATGTCTATCATCAAATTAAGAAAGGGTATAAATGAGTAATCAACATCCACTCTATCAATGCAAATAGACAAATTTACAGACTCTTATCAGACTACCACAGCAATAGTTCCACAAGTAGTATAATGCTACACTCTCTCGCAATGGTCTTCTCTGTGGTGACGTATTCAGCATATGCTTAAAACGCTACAGGTTTGAAGGTCTCATGCTGCTCGAGTTTGGCCAATCTTGTATTGTCGAGCATAGCCTTATGCCAGAAGCAAATAAATATAAGGAGCACCATTCGAAGGAGTTTATATGCCTCCCGTGCAGGCAAAGGCAGAAGTATCGATATTGAAGTCAACAAAACTGAAAGTTCTTTGGAGAAAGAGGCTGGATTTGGCAGGAATCTCCTGGAAGAAATATTTAGTTTTAGAAACACAAAATGCAGTGGATTTTTCTGCTGAGCCTATAGAATCAGCTGGTAAGTGCTTTCAATTGTAAATGAGACACATAGCTACTTTTTCTATTTCAACCAAATGGATTTTTACTTAATCATGTTTTACACTTTAGATTATGATTATAAATTAATTAGGTACCTGTTGTCTACATTTTTAAAAGGTACTGACACATGTTTTACACACTCAATTTTATTTTATTTTAATATACTTTCTTAAAAGGAATAGCTGGCTCATTCTACTTATATGATGCATCGTGGTAAATGCAATGGGCAGTGGGGATATTAGAAAAATACTTATTATAGTTTCTCCGCGAAATCAAATAAAACAGGTTGTTATACATTGCTTGATTTTTCCTATGTATCTTTCGTCTGCCAAGCTTTTATCGACTGACAAGACAGAAGTTTCTATTAACATCATGGTACAATAATTGATATTATATTTTAAAAGTTTAAACTATCTTTAACAGATGGAATAGTCAAAAGCACCTTTATATATCATGTTTACACTCACATAAGTAAAGCTTTGACATTTTCATTAATCATTAGTAGGCTAAGTATTACCTGAATAGGCACTAAAAACCGTTACATGTTTGTTGTGGTATTCTTTTAGTACAAGGTTAATAGTGGTAAATGATGGCCATCTTCAGAATCTTACCTTACATGAAAGTAATTCATAAAAGCACAGTTCATCAAAGAAGCACATGAGAGATCAAAATACTATGTCCTTAGTTCCTAGCATAACTGAGTGTGTTGATTAGCAAAGGAATGAGAGCTTAGCACTTTTGTGCAAAATCTGAACCTTAAAGCATTAATTGTCAACTGTGTTATGTGATATGATCTATGTAGTACTTATATATGTTCAAACTCAAAAGATGTTTGGAAGCAAAATTCTGCTCTATGTTGTCCTTTACCCATCATTTAATTTGGCAGATGTCTATTGTGTTTCTCCACTTCTTTGTTTGAGATATGAGCAGTGATAATTGATTATTACTTCAGAACTTTGTAAGTATTTTTTGTAAAAATCACAAAGAAGGAGGTTTAAAAAGGCTAAACACAACACTGTGTGTCGAAATGTAAACAATGTGATAATTTAGCATCTAATAGTATGATGTTGCTATGAATGCAGAGGATGTACCATTTGTCAATCTTACATCCATGAAAGGATATTCTTGTTCCAAAATAGATGTAAATAATATGTTGCAATTACCATACAATGCTGTCGGATATTTTTATCATCTGTAATTTTGTTTCTTATAAGAAAAAGTCAAATAAAAAATAATAATAGTTGTCATCCCCACCTTCTATTATATAGAAGAGCTTGAGTTTCGACATGTCTACTTAGCTGTCTTTTTCATTTTGTTCAAGGGCAATTTGGACCTTTAACAACATCTAATGAAACGTGTGCTTTAATCCCATAATTGGACCTCCACCGCATCAGTTCTTCTGTGGTTTTTGTCTTGTGTGTAATTTGAGCTTAACCCAAAGCACGAACAGACTCTTGCAATTCATTCTTTGTTACTTTCCCTTTCCTTCATCTCTCTGTGCTCTATTGCTTCTTGGCCAGACTAAAGTAATTTGACTTTTGATTCAAATTTCTCCATTTTGAATCCAGCTTCTCTGTGGCATGTGCTGTATATGTATGTCTATGACCTTTTTTCAGTTTTTCCTTTGTTTGGTGAACCATTTGAGCTTGTTAATGGGTCTTTGGTAGGTATTTGTTAGTTTTTTTATTTTTTCCTGTTTTTGGGATTTCTTTCTTGCTGGATTTTATATATGCATTCAGTAGTTGTATCTTATTTGATGTTTGAAAATAGCTACATAGATGCATATTTGTGATATATTGTTATTTCTGGTGTTAGTTGTATAAGATTGTTCTGAGAGTAAATGGGTTCTTTGAGGATGAACTTAGTTGTAAAATTGTGATTCGAGAGTAAAAGGGTTCTTTAAGGATGAACTTAGCAGTAAAATTGTGATTCTATTTTCTCTGAGATAATTGATATTAGAATCTTTCTGCTTATTGAGTTTTTTATCTTCTTTTGCGTATTCCACATGTGAATGTAATTATTGTCCTATAGTATTAATGGAACATAAAAGGTTTTTGGTGCAGTCAAGGCGTTTGATGATATGACTGAAACAAGTGAATTTTTTAATCCTTTTTCAGTTACCATAGGTATTCTACAATATACACATCCATCATCCACCAAGCTTATGGTATTTATGAGAACAAGAAAAAAAATGTCATAAATAGGTGAAATTTCTTTACTAAAAGAGCTAGACTTGAAGCTAGAGTAATTAACTTAGCATCAAATTTGTGCGGACTGTCCTTTTAATTCATCACAATTGATTACTAACTGTACTTTTTATGTGTATAAGTACCATTAGTAGGTCACGTTTGATGTCAGATGATTCATTGATGCAACCCCTTTTTTGCAGCCTCGTAAAATTATTCTGAGATTTTTGTCGAGTGCAAGTTAACGGTTGTCCTGACATTGTGATAGATCACTGAGATGATCACTATTTCCAGCTGGCATTTGGATTTAGTTCCAGGTTCCGTTATCCGTCACATCCGTGTAGTTTGGCTCTGTGACTTCAATTAATCTGACATAACTTTGTGAAATTACTTTAGGTGTCTTCTGCCCCAAAATTGGTGGAGTCCGTCCGAGACTACCATCTCGTATCATGAGTTACAAGAGGAGCACATTCAAAAGTCACCATTGCAATCAGCTTGTGTCTAGAAAGGTTTATTTCGTTTTTCTTCTTTTGTAATGATAAATACATCTTTAACTTGGATTTTCGGAATTAGCAGGTGCCTGGTAGAAGCGTTACACATTTATCTCTAGCTGGTCATTCTGTCAAATGTGCTTCATTTGTCGAAAGAAACTATCAATCTAGTGTCAATAACGATGAAGATCCATTTCTGATAAACACTATGAAGCAAGCTATAAGGTACGTTAATCACAGAGGATCCAATACATATTATACTTGTGTGTGTTTTTGTTTGTGTGTGAAAACTAGAGCATCAGCATAACACATCTTCGGCAAGTGCATAACTGTAGAGGTAGGCGAGAGAGAAGATATCAACTTACCTAGCCTAAAGACCTTTTCTTTCGCCCAATATTTACTTTCTGGAGGTACAAGCTCCTCAATTCCCTTTATCAAATTAGTTATTTCTTCAATTTCCTCCAGAAATAGGTGTTGATATCTTGTTTATATGAGATTTCCTTTTCAAGAAGGTCTATATTGGTTTTGATGACTTCATCGCGTTGGTTGACTCGTGAATCAACATTGCACATCTGGATCTGATGACTTGTTTGAAATTTTACTAGGTTCGCCAATAATTTCTCCTTCGCTTTGATATCCATTTTTTCAATAATTAACTTTCGTGGATATTTTGAGATCCTTTAATAATTTGAATTTTAAAAGTTTTGCTAGATAAAATGTTTTAGATGATGTATCTATAATGTTCTGAAGTTCCATTTTTTAATGGCTCAGGGCTGTAAAATCGATACTACTATTTCTGGTTGAGCAGCCAAGTCAGCTGAAGTACATAGAATGGCCTGGATTTCAAAGCACGGTTAGTGTGTATAACCTTTTCTTTCTATTTGGTAATTGTCATTTCCCTTCCGTTGCAATATGTGGCCAATACTAGGTGCTGATAATGTGAGCAAAGCTCCACATTGTATTTGGCTTGTTACTCTAGTGTGCTCAACTCTTGTTGTCAAGACAAAATAACAAATGCTAATAAATAGTTAATGGTCTTTATAGCGCTACCTAGGGGTGTCAATGGTTTGGTTCAGCTGGTTATTTTTAAAAATTTATATCATACCACTTTTTTGGTTACTCCGTTGTGTATAACCAAATTTAGGCTTTTCGAAACCGTCCCAATCATCTCGGTTCCTCCTCGGTATCGATATGGCTTGGTTAGTTTTCAGTACTGTTTTGGTTACTCCATTGTCTATGGCCTAAATGCTCTTGTTTCAGGTTGGAAAAACAAAAAGTAAAGACAATTATAAAATAGTGAAGATTGATTTCCATTATCAATTAAGTATAAAAAGTTAACAATGCCTTGGTTTTGAGCCACATATTGACATGTGCTATGAAAACTAGTTCTAGTTGGTGACTCTCAGACAAAACTACAGAAGAAGTAATTTGATTGCTACTTTTGTCAATATCTTTCTGCTGGTTTTCCATTCTGAGACAAACCTGTTGCAGCATTGGTGTTTTTCCACTCTTGTGAAGGGAGATAATGCCATCTGCTTGTGCATTTAACCCCTTGAATTGAACCATTATGCCGGTAGTTTTAGAAAATTTTCCTTTCTCTCGAGTTAAGTTTCTCATTTCATTTGTTGCACTATGCATATTGCTTGTACAGTGTCTTAATATCCAAGTTTACCTGAAAATAGCTGGAGCTAGCTTTTCAAATAGAAGAATATTTGGATAACTGTGGCGCCTTTGAAGTATCTGCACGGTTGCTCTAACTGTTGCTATATTTTGAATTTCTGATGCTATGTAACAATTCTTCCATTTTTGTCTAATGAAGTGAAAACATTTATTTACCCAAAATATTTTGTTCTTGAGAGTCTGTATCTATGCTAAATACAATGTTGAGTTGCACTGATTGGATTGACTTAGATATTAAGCATAGTTCCAAGGAATGTTGTTTCTTTATCTTTGATATCAGTACATGCAGTAAAACTAATCTTTTCTCCACTTTTTGCAGCTGAAGACTGCAACACTGGCACTTGTTCTAGTTGGGTTGTTTATCATTGCTTTATCGTCGATTGATTCTGCCTTGTCTTACATGTTGGCTCTATTTTTGCGGAGAACAGCATGACTCTGGATATATAAGCCTAATTTCCTGGCTTCAAACAATCTTGATGTTTAGACATTTCCTTCTAAAATCGAGGAAATAAAGTCATATCATGAGGTTGACGAACTAAATGACTAAAAGCCTGAGAACTTCAAGGTTTAAGGGCAATTGAACTGCTCCATTGGGTCTTCAATCTGTATGCATTTTGCAAAATATTTTATAAATGTAGCTATATTGAAGTTACTCATTTGTCAACAATGAGTATTGTTGCTATAACTACAATAGTTCATTTTCTTTTTGATCATATATATGGTTCTAGAAGTAACAGTCGGAATTCCTTTTTATTTTCTCCCTATCTTTTTTCTCCTCCTCCCCCTCCCCCCAAACTTTAGTCTTTATCGTACTCCGAATCTTTAATTACTAATTATTAAGGTAAAACAATTTCTTGAAGTTAACCGTGGTTAATTTGAAGAGAATGAAGGCATAAGCTAAGATAGTTCATGCGATCCGATGTTTTGGCCAAATTGCAAATACTTGATGGTTTGCATGACAGAATTTGACACTTTTTGCTAAAAGGTGAGTGATTAGATCTTCATAAATCTTTTTATTATTAATTATTTATTTATTTTTTATTTGAAATTGAGCGGTAGTTCTTGTAACCATAGTCTTTTATGATAGATAAAAAAATTATCGATATTTAACTCTGAAATGAATAATTTTAAGAAATAATGAAATCTTTCTTTCATTTTTGGCTAAGAAGCTAGATGATCTTTAATAGCTTGACAAAATAAATAAATTTATGAACTTTACAAGGACAAAATTTATGAAGCTATTTCCGTGGAAGAGGCTTCCCCTTTTAGGGTAGAACTTAAACTATAGAGTTAGTATCAGTATAGTAACGGTGCTTTTGATACCTGATAGGGTGTTATTGACTAACCACATAGGTTTCTTCTTCATTAATTTTTACATGTGCTTAGATACCAAGTCACAAAATTTATAGGCAGTAACTTGCTCCTCTGCTTTAGCCACTTTCTTAATATCAACAAATAGACACGCTAAAGCAGCATTAGCAGCAGTTTCCATTTGAACATGAAACTCGACCACCCATAATTTTTATTTAAATCATACATAGATCTTTTTACAATTTAAGCTTCAGGAGAAGCCTCCTCTCACACCATTAGATGTTGGTCTAACTAGCTAGATATTGTATTAGCATATACTATATTATTCGTTCTTTCTTATTGCCCTTCACCTAAAAGTTTATATAATTTGCTTGGACTTTACTTTTAAGTTTGTATTTCATTTAAATATTTGGTGTGAAATTATATGTGGTGGATTGATACAACATCTTAGCATATTTGGCACGGACGAATTCACTTGACCAATTGGTTAGGTCATAATTGTTTGGTTTGTTCTACTTTTAGTACAGTACATGAAATGCACAAGGAGCATATGGTTCATGTGTATTTTTAAATGTATCACATTTATGCTATCGTTTAACATATATGTCTTATGAACACGCTTCTGCTCAGTGTCTTGGCAGTCATAAATTTTTATTTATTCAGGGGGTTAAATTTTAACTCTAAGATACCCTTTCATTGACGGATGATTCTTTTTTGTCAGTCTTCCTTAAGATAACGTAATTTAAATTAAACGGTTGATATAAGAGTTACTTACTATTGCAGGAGGCTTATGGTGTTTTTATCATATTACATATCCACAAATTTCCTGAAGTTACTACATTCTTACCTTGCTCAATCAGTTCAAGCAAGTAAAAACACTTATTAAGACCAAGTGACCATCAAAGCATATAATTTGATGTGTGAAGGAGTCATTACCTATTTTTCTGGTCTTATCTATGGTAACTTTATCATGCAGTAATTGTAGCTACTTACTAGCAGAAGGTATTTCAAAAACTAAGTCATGAACAAATAGTGCCTTTAGTCTATCATTTTGTATGGTTTACCTTCGTGAATTTAATTTTATTGAGGAAGCAAGATTCATTTGTTCCTGAATGCAAATTCTGAATATGTATGCTCTGAATAGTAGGTGGTCTTTAATGTTTGTCACTATTTACTAAGGATGGAACTGTGCTTCTGTATTAGTGAAAGTATGGTTGTTCCTGGGTACGTATTCCTATTTAGGGTTTAAAATTGTAGATGCAACTATATAAACTCAGCTATATCAGTATTTGAAATGTTGGACAAACCTCATCTAGTAACTGATTATTGGTAAAATTTCAAACAAGTCATCAGATCCAGATGTGCAATGTTGATTCACGAGTCAACCAACGC